GGGGGGGGGGACACTGGCTATCCTGAGATGGAGGTCTGGATCCCCTGAGTCGCTGTGGAGTAAATGATGGCTGGTGTCCTCTGCCAGGAGCAGATGACCTTCAAGATGACCATCTTGAGCCCCTGTACAGTGAGGGCCAGGCCACGTGCTCCAATGCAACCCAATAGGTCCAGCTGCCCCCAACTTGCTCCTGCTGGCCACTCGGCCAGAGATGGCATCATCTGGGGCTGTGAAGCCCATGACCACATAGGTGTGGTTCAAAGGGTGTATTGGGCCCCACTGAAGCCTCCCTCTCCCCTCCTATTCCAGGCAGTGACTGCAGCACTGAAGGCCCGGCACCACAACACGCAGTTTACTTCCACCTTCATTGCTGTGGTGCAGGCCATCGTCCGCACTGCTGATGGCTGGGCGGCCGCCTCAGACTCCCGGAAAGGCGGGGAACCTGCTGGCTACTGAGTGTGCAGGGCGGACAAGGCTGACCGGAGACCCAGGGATAAGATGCCTACACAGGACTGAGACTTTGGGGGATGGGCTTCTCCCTCGAGTGGCAAAGCAGTGCAATAAATGGGGGCCACGGTGCCAGGTGCTGGTGGGTTCCCAATTCCCTGGTCCTCGGCATCCTGTGTAAAATGGAGCCATCTAGTGGGGAAGGGTGGAGGGGGTGCAGGGCAGGCTCATGCCAAACCCTATCCTTCCCACACTGAGCCCAGCACCTGGGGCCAGGCCCTCTCTTCAATGGGCTGGGCAGCGGTGCTTCCAGTGTTGGCCACCAGAGGGCGCCATAGCCCTGGCTTTCACTTGGGCAGAAGCGACCCACCCTCGCTGGAAGCCGGGTACCCCCTCAGCCTGGCCGGTGGCCAGACTCACGGTGCTAAGAACACACAGAAGTGCAGCTGAGGCCTGAGGAGTGGGATTGCGCATGAGGCTGGAGCAAAACATGCTGGACTGAGCCAGGCCCAGAGGAGCTTTCCAAACACAAACCCAGCGTGAAACGAGCTGTGATCAGTTCCAGGAGACCCAGTTCTCAGGGAACAGAGAGCTAGAAGAGGTCCCTAGATCCCGAGGATTGAGGCTTGGACTGGTGGGTCAGGGCTTGGACCAGCAGGTGGCCAGAGAGGGTGGATCTGGGGAGAACATAACACCCTGTCTCCCCCACCATGGACCAGCCTCTTGCTCTCACTCAGGGTCTGCTAACTCTTCCTTTACACACAGTTGTAGCAACTGAAGTGAGGTTCTAGGAAAGGCTTGTGGGGGCAGGCAGGAGAGAGGGGGTCACAGCCTGACAGTCAAATAATGCCCGGCCATTGAGCACAAGTGGGGCCTCTGAGGACAGGGATCAGGGGCCAGCGGAGGCCAAGCCTGTCTCCTTCCTGAGGTGGGAACACCTGGTGCTTCCCAAGTGTCCACAGGGAAGCAGGTTTTGTGCCTGCAGAGTCTGAGCCCTGCCTCTGGGATCCCCAGGGATGGGATGGAAGCTAGTCTGGTGGAATGTGCAAGTCACTCCTTGGCCCTCATTTTGGTCCCAGTGGAAGTAGGGATTGGCCATGAAGCTCCCTGGGTCCTGACATGAGGGCAGGGTACAACCCAGTTCCCCAGGCCCTCTGGAACTCAGCAGAGGACTTCTTTGGGGACTGGGGGACTTAGTTTCCCCTCTCTTTCCTTCCCATTGTTTCCTGACCTTCACCGCCTGGCTGGGCCTCCCTGGCTGCACCTCTGGCCAGGCCAGCATGATGTCAGTTCCTTTCCTGGGCACTTGCTCTATGATCCTTGCACCCTGACCTCTGCCTGAGCAGGATGGCTGGGGAGTGGAAGGGGGATGTCCCACCCCTGATCCTGCTAACTCCCCTTCTCCTTCAACCCCCCACTGTCCCTGCCTCCCTGTGAGTGGGCTGGTCCTGACCCAGAAATGCACTGGGTTGAGCAATGTCACTGCTGCGTGGGGGTGGGAGGAGGAGTCCACAGCCCTCCCCACCCCACGAGGCAGTGTGGGAACAGGCCTATGGGAAAGTGTGCCCCAGTGGCCTCGCTAATGCAGGCTGACTGGGGGCCTGGCAAGCTGTGTGGCTGTGCAGGTCTCTTTCTGTGTCTCAGTTTCTCTGCTGTACCTAGAGGTGTCAAGAGACCTGGGAAGGGAGTGGGGAGAAAGTGCAGGGGTTGTGGGGGAACTGTGTAGATAGGAGTCTAGCCCTCAGCCTTACGCCCTGTGCCCCTGCTGAGCCTGGTCAAGGGGGCACCTCAGTGGGTCCATACTCCTCCAACCACCTCCCACTTGGCTACCCTGAAGCCTGGGCAGGGCAGGGTCCAGGCCAGTGTCCCTAGGCACTGCTAGAGCAGGGATAGCCTGGAGCATAAATAGACAGGAAAGCAGACAGAGAGCCAAGGCGGGGCAGAGATGCAGATGGAAGGGCAGCCTCACTACCCAGAGCCCACAGTGGCCTTTCCTGGAAAGCAGGCCCCAGGAGTGGACACACGCCCTGTCTGCACTCACCACACAGACGTCTTGCAGTCCCACGCGTTTGTTGCTCTTGTGTTGGCCTGCCCATGGGGCAGACCCAGAAGCCAAGCGCCCTCCTCGTTACCACCCTAATCCCCCTCCTTCCCCACCCCACCCTCCAGCCAGGCTGTGGGTGAGACTTGAACCCGGGACCTGAGTGGCATTGCCTTGGCCCCCCTCTGTCTGTCTCTGGCCCCATTCAGCCTCACCTCTGTGCCCCAGGCACCCCCAGTGTCCTGTGGCTCTGGGAGTGCTGAGGGGAGCTGCTGCTGGGCAGTGCCACACCAAAAGTGTGGGACTCCGGGCTCCATCCTGTCCTCCTTGCTTCTCTGAGCCCTCTGTCCGGGCTTTTCTGGGAACCGGGAGGTGGCCGTGGGTGTCCTGGGAGCCCTGCTCCCCAGCTTCCTGAGGGCAGCAGGCACCAAGTCCTCAAGCACACATGATGGGGGAGCTGCGGCACCAGTGGGCAGACGGCCGGGCGGTTGCACCATCAAGGATCCTTGGGGCAGGCCGTGGAAATGGCAGGGAGGGAGTTAACTGGCGCGGCTTCCTCCGCTAGAAGGAAATTCCCCATAAACACCCTGCTCCCTGGCCTCATGCCAGGGCCTAGAGCAGGAGCTGGAGACGAAGTTCAGGCAAGTGGCTCACTCTCCTGTGGCAGCCCGCGAGGAGGGCAGCGCTCCTGCCGCCACAAGCCCCCTGTCCATACACCCACCTGTCTGCTTGGGCGCCCACCGTTCGTCTGTAAACCTGTCTGTCCATCTGAAATCCCGCCTCTGTCCAGTTGTCTATCTGGCCATCTTTCTCTTGCTATCCTCCCTCTAGCTGTCCATCCTGTCTGTCAATCCATTTGTCTGTCTCTGGCTGCATCTATCTGTCCAATCCTGTGAGTCCATCTGCAAATTGTCTTGTCCTTTCAACCACACAGCTATCTGTGCATCTGTCTGCCCACTGACCTGTCTGCCCACCTGCCTCCCCTCTCTCCCCTCCCCCGGGGCTGCAGAGCCATGGCCCAGGGCCGTGGGGCCACTTTCGTCATGGTGCTACTGGGGTTGGGGTTGGCCCTGGCAATCGTCGTTCTCTCTGTGGTCCTCTCTCGCCACCACCCACCCTGCGGCCCCCAGGCCTTTGCTCATGCTGCAGTTGCTGCTGACTCCAAGGTCTGCTCGGACATTGGACGGTGAGTAGGGGGAGGGTGGCAGCTGGCCCTTCCCAGAGATTTTGTGACTGGTGGCAAGCGTGTGGAGAGGGTGCATACGTTGCATGCTGACATGTGGGGACCGTGTGGGTTTGGGCTCCAGCAAGGAAGCAGCCTCGGGGCCCTCGCACAGAGCAGGCAGCAGGCATGTGCATGGGATGGAGGAGGGTTTGGGGACAATTACAGAGAGGACTTGGTATGCGAGTCTATTCCTAGTTCCAGGTCTCAGGAGGCTCAGAGAAGGCCCTACCACAATGTCACTGGTCTGATCCCAATGACCAGTGCCGGCCCCTTCAGAGAGGCAGTCCATGCCGGTTCTCCAAGTCTGGGTCTTCTCCCAGGGACCTGGGCGAGGAAGTCTGGGGGCTCGATATATGAGTGTTGCCCTGCTGGGGTGCACTCGTTGCTGTCCAGGGCCAGTCTCCCACCCTGACTTGGGGCCTGGAAACCCACAGCTGCTGGCACCATGTCCCCCACAGCCTCCCCTCACTGTGGCAGGGCCTGGAGCTAGGCCAGTAGTGGGAGGAGTGGTTTTTTGATGTTTTGGGGGCCGGGTTCAGGGGGGCCGTGGAGAGGGACCCTATTCCAGGAAGCCAATCCCAGGGGAGGCTTCTGCTGCACACTGGGGGGCAGGACATGTCCAGAAGCTTTCCTCCCCCGCTGACCCCCTCCCTGCTGGTTGGGTTGGCTTCCAGGAATATCTGCCTCATGGGCCATTGTCAGGATCTGGTGTGCTTTGTAAAAGGAAAGGGACTGTCTTGGAGCAAGGGGGAGTGTGGCTGAGCCCCAGCCAAGGCACCACTGGGCAAATGGTGGTCGTTCCCCCTTTGTCCCAGCTTCACCCCTCCTGCATGCTTTCTTCTTCTGTTCCTTTCATTCACCTTTTCATTCATTCCCTCCTCCCTCCATCTGTCTGTCTCTCCCTGTCCTATCCACTTCCTACCTGATCCTCTAAGCTCTTCTCAGGGCTTTCTGTCCCCTCCCCCAGGCTCTTTATAGGATGATAGTGGCTGAGGATGGCAGCTCAGGGACAAGTGGGGAGCAGGCTGCTTGGCCTCCCCAGGAGGCTCCCAGGGAATGGGAGAGGAGTGAGCCCCCTCATGCTCATGAGAACATGCAGAGGTGCCACACCCACCTGAACCCATAGTTGCAAAGATGCAAACCCACCCAGGAGCTTCAGGACCCAGATACCACTGATGGGGACACAGCTCCCAAGATATGGGCTGCTGCCACACATCTCCAAGGGCGCCTGAGCTCCACTGTGTCTCCGAGTCTTGTCTGGGGGTCTCCATGACATGCCCTGGGGTACGCGTGAGAGTCTGGGGTTGGGGTCTCTGACCAAGGAACTCCCAGCAACCCTTTCTTAGTGGAAAGAATGGATGTGGTTTCTCCCCAGTGTTTGTGTACTTGTCAAATTGCGCTCTGCTTCCTGTTCTTGTTTTAAAAAGCCAGGAGTGGGAGAGAGCCTGGAGCGGCCCCAGCTGCTGTGGAAGAGGGGGTCACACCCGGCAGCTGCAGGGTCTGGTACAGCCCCCTCTCCCTCCTATCCCCGCTTCCCCACCGCTGTCTCCTCTCCCCAGCAGGGCCTCCCAGGCCCAACCTCCTTCTGCCCTATCAGCACAGGTTTTCCTCTTTGGGGCTGGGCCTTCTGCTGCAGCCAGAGCCCCTAAGGGGTGGTTTTTGTGGGGGGTTTTCTTTTTTTAAATATATCTTTATTGATTTCAGAGAGAGGAAGGGAGAGGGAGAGAGAGAGAGTTGAAACACCCATGATGAGAGAGTCATTGATCGGCTGCCTCCTGCACGCCCCGGACTGGGGATCGAGCCCGCAACCCGGGCATGTGCCCTGACCGGGAATCGAACCTCGATCTCCTGGATCCTAGGTCAGTGCTCAACCGCTGAGCCACGCCCGGCCGGGCTAGGGGGTGGTTCTTAAGTTTTACATAAGTGAGGACCCAGCACCATGCCTCATAGACATGCAAGAGATGCATGGTGACAATGAGGTGTTTTCTCTGGCCTGTCATCTTTTTTATTTTTCAGTTAGCAATAATGGCACCTCAGATAAACCTCACTGGCTACAATACTGTTACTGCGCAAAGCTGGCCTGTCATCTTCCAGAATGATGTCTCAGTGTGTTAGGCTTGTGTGCAAACTGGGTGTCCTGAGGCTCTGAGTGTTTGTCGTGTAGGGGGACGGTGAGCTTCAGGGTTGGTGGTGGCTCCTAGCTTTGTAACACCTGCCTTCTGTGGCCACTCAGAAATGCCTGCCCTCCCACCAGACCCTCAGAGGGAGGATTCAGGGCTCCTCCCCGAATCCAGTGGGATTAGTGGCTCTGCTTGATTTATGAGGAAACGAGGCCTGCACAGAAGGGACCTACCTGGTGTCACAGAGTGAGCAGGCCCACCTGGGACCACCATTCTCTGCTGCCCTGCAGGGGGAGAAACTCTCCAGGGCTGCTGGAGGGGTGGGGCCTTCTTGCAGGCCCCCACCCCATACCCTGANCCAAGCCCGCAGCCCGGGCATGTGCCCTGACCGGGAATCGAACCTCGATCTCCTGGATCCTAGGTCAGTGCTCAACCGCTGAGCCACGCCCGGCCGGGCTAGGGGGTGGTTCTTAAGTTTTACATAAGTGAGGACCCAGCACCATGCCTCATAGACATGCAAGAGATGCATGGTGACAATGAGGTGTTTTCTCTGGCCTGTCATCTTTTTTATTTTTCAGTTAGCAATAATGGCACCTCAGATAAACCTCACTGGCTACAATACTGTTACTGCGCAAAGCTGGCCTGTCATCTTCCAGAATGATGTCTCAGTGTGTTAGGCTTGTGTGCAAACTGGGTGTCCTGAGGCTCTGAGTGTTTGTCGTGTAGGGGGACGGTGAGCTTCAGGGTTGGTGGTGGCTCCTAGCTTTGTAACACCTGCCTTCTGTGGCCACTCAGAAATGCCTGCCCTCCCACCAGACCCTCAGAGGGAGGATTCAGGGCTCCTCCCCGAATCCAGTGGGATTAGTGGCTCTGCTTGATTTATGAGGAAACGAGGCCTGCACAGAAGGGACCTACCTGGTGTCACAGAGTGAGCAGGCCCACCTGGGACCACCATTCTCTGCTGCCCTGCAGGGGGAGAAACTCTCCAGGGCTGCTGGAGGGGTGGGGCCTTCTTGCAGGCCCCCACCCCATACCCTGAACCCCAATGTCTGCCCGGCTTCCAGGCTTGGCCTGTAAAGGCCAGAGCTTTACTGGTCAAGTGAGTAGTTGTAGAGGAGGCTGGTGGGGGCCCAGAGTGCTTACCCTCTGGGGCTTTGGGGTCTAGGCTGGCACTAGGCTGTGGGGTTGGATAAGGAGCCGTGTCAGCTGCTCCAGACCCATCCAGGGGTCTGTGTGTTCCATTCTCAGTGCAGAGGAGAGCTGGGGATCTGGACACGTTGCTGCAACTCCTGAGCCTCAGTTTTCCCATTTGTGAAATGGGGCTCATGTCAGCACTTCTCTCATGGGGGGACATGGATCTTGCCTGGCCCATAGGAGGTGTTGCCTTGATGGTAGCTGTTTTCACCACTGACTGTTACGTTGGCTTGGACTGGACATGGGTCTGACCTCAGGACCTGGAGTTAGGGCCCAGAGTCAGAGCAGGAGACTCAAGTGTGGGGAAGGCTCATAGGGAACTAGGGTGTGGCCCACCTTTTCCTCCCCTACAACCCCCCATGACCCTGATGTTTTCTGTACTCCCAGCCAAGTCACCAGGAAATTATTGCATTTCCTCCCCTCTGGGGCTCAAGAAGAAACAGCCTGTGTACCTGGGTACTGTGCACTGCATGTGTGAGCAGATGTGTAGCAGCAGCCTCCTGGCTCCTCAGGGACAGGCATGTTAGAAATGTGTCCCTCCCAGGAGCATGTCCGAGCCTTTCCCTCCCCCTTTCCTTCCCCCACAAGCGTTCATCCCCTAAACTCTAAGGGGGCCCCACAAGACTTGCATCCAGGCAGCAATGGGCGGCACAGCTTGTCCTGAGCTAATGCCCTGAACCTGTCTCCAAGACCCCCTTTTCTCTGACTTCTCAGTGAGCCAAAGCAGCCCCTGCTAGTCCCTCTCCTGTTGCTTCTTCTGTCTTGGGTCCTTCCTTGTTTCACTGTCCCCACCTTTAATAAACATATTCTCGAAATAAAAATAAAAAACGAAATGTGTGACTGACTTCTGGTCAAGATGGCAGCGTAGGTAAATGTGATACTGGCATCCTCCTACAACCACATCAAAGTTACAACTAAACTATAGAACTGCCACCTTTCAGAGCTGCCTGCAATCTAGCTGAATAGAAGTCCTGCAACTAGGGATTTAAAGAAGCTGCACTGAGACTGGTAGGAGGGGTGGAGATGTAAAATGTGCAGGGGATAAAAATTGGAAGGGATATCTAGGCTGCGGAGGTCCCCCCTGAGGAGCAAGGAGTCCCAGCCCCATGCCAGGCCCCCAAGCCCAGGGTTCCGGTGCCGGGAAGAGAAGTCCCCATAACTTCTGGCTGCAAAAGCCAGCAGGAATTGTGACTGAGACAGAGGGCTGCTGGAGTCCCAGGCATTCCTCTTAAAGGGCCTGCACACAGACTTACTCGGACTCACTCACTCTGCGCTCCAGCTCTGGGAGAGCAACTTGAAAGGCACTAGGAATATATGGGGGCGATGTGAATTGTCAGACTTCAGGGTGAGGACTGGAGGGGCAGTTTTCTCCCAGACAGAAGCTCTGGCAGAAGCCATTGTTCCTTTGCTGAGTCCTCTCCCCACAGAGCTGGAAGGCTAGAACCATATCTGAGTCTCCTTCAATCTGGCTCAACTGTTTGCTCAGCCCTGGTGATTTCCTGAAACATGCCCAGCCCAAATTTTGGGCCCACCCAAGCCCTTTCCAGTAGCTTTTCCATACAAATAGCCTGTCTTAGCTCATGCTGCTGCTGATCGTAAAATCTCTCAAAAAAGCAACATCTGACCTCAGTAAGCTCTGTAATTCTAAGTTGTCCCAGGCCCAGCACTAGTGGCAGCCAGCTCTAGTTTGAAGGTTGGCCTCTCCTAGCCCAGCACAAGTAGAAGCTGTCTGCAGATCACTCTGTAGCTCGTGCCAGGTGGCCCCAGGCAGGTCATAGGCAGTAACTAACCTTAGCCTGCACCTCCTAGGAGGCCCTAGAGCCAGCTCACCTGGTGGATAGCTTCAGACTGCACCAAACCACCTCCATGATTGACACACTCCACAGGCAGAGGCAGTGGGCACCAGAGTCCCACTGATGGGAGTTCTGCTCTGTGGGGTTGGCCCCTGCACAGCAGATCCTCTGCTGTGGTCACTGGCAGTCTTTGCAGCCAGTCGGCTTGGGTATAAATCCCTTCCATTGACAGCTAGTAAGGCTCAACTACAATAGGAAGGTGCACACAGTCCACCTTGGGGGGGGGGCACACCTGGAGCACCCAGCTTTGGTGACCACCGTCACCCAGTGGCTGTGCCATTGGGCCCTACAAGACACTTACTACATAAGGGCACTCTGCCAAGACTGGGAGAGGTAGTCACTTTACCTAATACATAGAAACAACACAGGGAGGCAGCCAAAATAAGGAGACAAAGAAACATGTCCCAAGTGAAAACACACATACACACACACACACCCCCCAGAACAAAACTCCAGTAAAAGAACTAAACAAGATGAAGACAAGCGACCTGCCAGATGCAGAGCTCAAAACACTGGTTATGAAGATGCTCAATAACCTCAGTGAGAACTTCAACAAAGAAACAGGAAACATAAAAATGTGTTATGCCAGAGACAATGGGGTGTTATAATCATACATTCAAGGGGGAAAATGTGAGCCAAGGATTTTATATCCAGCTAAACTGACATTCACCTACAAAGCCCACAAACTGTTATAAACAGGTAAGAACTTTGAATATTTCCCCCCATGAACACTTCCTGAGGAATCAAAAAAAAAACAAAACCTTAATACAACCAAAATAACTGGAAAGGCTTTGACATAAGGAATGGGACTGAAAATTAAATATATGTTCATATGTAGAATTAAGACTAAAATTGATTGTTTGGTGGCAACAGATGGGCCACCTGCCTGTCACCATTTCCCAGTGATTGCCAGCTGAGCAAGCCCAGGTGGGGAGGTCGGGACAAGGGAGCCAGGCCCCTTACTTTGTGCCATGTCTTCTAGAGCCATCCTTCAGCAGCAGGGCTCGCCCGTGGATGCCACCATCTCAGCTCTCATCTGCACCAGTGTTGTGAACCCTCAGAGCATGGGCCTGGGCGGAGGGGTCATCTTCACCATCTACAATGCAACCACAGGTGAGTCCATACAGGACCTCCATGAGGAGGATGGGCTTGTCCACAAGCACTGACAAGGTGCTCGGCCTGAGCCTGTTCCATCCGCCCACGCCCTTTCCTGGATCTTCTTGGTGCTCCCTGCTACCCCCCGCCCCACCCGCTTCACCCTTCATGGCAGGTCCCATCCTGAGTAGAGACCAATGTATGCTACAGAGAGGGAAACCTAGGCCCAGAGCAGGGCCGGGGATGTCAGAGGAGGACCATGGTGTGCGCTGAGGCCGGTCAGCTGCAGGAGTGCCCCTGATCACTTGCATGCCCTGCCCCAACTCCAGGGCAGGTGGAGGTCATCAATGCCAGGGAGACGGTGCCCGCCAGTTATGTCGGGGGTCTGCTGGACCAGTGTGAGCAGGCACAACCACTGGGCACAGGTGAGGCCTCAGGAGGGGCCACTGGGCCTCACCAGAACACCCCCCTCATGGACAGGCTGAGACACCCTGGCACTGGGGGACAGCAGCTGGGGAGCCCCCATGGAGGTCCTGACCTGCTGGGGTTGGGGGTCTATTCCCAGGGGTGGGGGGCAAAGAGCTCTCTAAGTAGGGAGGGGTGATCCAAACAAAGGGACCAGCCCTGGCAAAGGCTGGAGGGTTCAGTGGAGATGGGTCCTGGGGATGGGGGGTCCTGGGACCAGTTTGTGGACTTGGTACAGAGGGCAGTGGCCAGCCACAGGGAGTTTGAGTGCAGAGGGACATAGTCAGGTGTGGGCTCCAGAAAGATCACTGGCTGCCATGGCTGGGGAGCAAGGCTGGTGGAGCCAACTGTGGGGGTGATGGAAAATCCTGGGGCAGGCCTGGAAGTCATAGGACTGAGGGCAGAGTGGGGGCAACATGGGAGCAGGAGCATGACACTGCCACACCCTGCAGGGGCCCAGTGGATAGGGGTGCCTGGGGAGCTCCGTGGCTATGCCGAGGCCCACCGTCGCCACGGCCGCCTGCCCTGGGCACAGCTGTTCCAGCCCACCATCGAGCTGCTCCGTCGGGGCTTCCACATGCCCCCCGTCCTCAGTCAGTTCCTGAACCACAGCTTCCTTCGCCCTTCCCTGCATGCCTCCTCCCTGAGGTGAGCACTGCCCAGGGGTGGGGTAGGATGGGGCAGGGGCCCTTCTCAGGTCCAGGCCAGTCTGCCTGAGCCCACCCAAGCTCCACCTGAGCCCATGGAAGATTGACCCTGTGCAGGTGCTGGGGGGCCTTGCATGGCTAGCACTTTGCTGTCTCAGTTCAGACCTCTGGGCTCCAGGTGGCAAAACCTAATGGGAAGGCTCAGGCCAGAGGAGTTTGTGCCCAAGTGACAGGACTCTAAGGGCATGGATTTGGGCTCTGCCACTGCCCTCTGGCTCTCTCCTTCTTACTCTGTCTAGGCTGGCAGGAGGGCTTTGCCCACCATGCCAGCCCACTGACCAGGCCCTGGGTGGACGCAGGCCTGACTGGGGAGCGCATCCTCCCAGGACAGGGTGATGAGTGAGGTGAGAGGTGTCAACCCCACCCAATCCTAGAGAATCTGTCCCCTTGATGTCCACCCCAGCCCCTGAGGACCCCGGACCAGGACCGCTTCCCTGTAGGATCCCAAGGACACTGAGAGAGCCCTTGTAGGAGTGTGGCTGCCCTCTGGGATCTGGCCCCACCCTGAGGTTGTCCCCCATCCCCCAGGCAGCTCTTCTTCAATGGGACAGAACCCCTGAGGCCTCAGGACCCATTCCCCTGGCCTGCGATGGCTGCCACCCTGGAGACCTTGGCCAGGGAAGGCGCAGAGGTCTTCTACACAGGGAGGCTGGGCCAGACACTGCTGGAGGACATTGCCAAGGAAGGTAAGCCACACGAGGTCCCTGCCAGAGAAAGAGCCAGGTTCTGAACACGGGGGCAGGCTCTTCCCCAGGTCCTGAGGAAGTGCCCGCTGCTCCCAAGGTTTAGAGAAGCTGTGTCCTGTCCTGCACAGTGCTGGCCTCAGTGACCCCGCCATCAAGACCCTCAAGGGGCAGGGCCCCCGTGGGTTAGGGCCAACAGAGGGGAGTTATTGGTGGCCATGGTGGGCTCCTGGGCTTGGAGCTGGCCACCCTCACAGCCTCCTAGAGGCCAGCTCGCCTCTCCCACCTTCCCCTCCTTCCCCCAACCTGTCTGCCCCTGGTCCCTGTCCACCTGTCCTCCACCTGGCTCTAGGGCCTAGCCCTGATGCCACTGCCCACAGACTCACCCTCACCCCTCTGGGTCTAGAAGGCTAGGGGACAAGGGAAGCCCCACTGTGAGACCAGGGACCAGTGGCGGTCACTCTCCACCTAGTTCCCCATCTGTACACGGAGCCTTCTCTGTCTCACTTCAGGCAGCCAGCTGACCATGCAGGACCTGGCATCATTCCAGCCCGAAGTGGTGGATGCCCTGGCGATGCCCCTGGGGAACTACATCCTGTACTCGCCCCCGCCCCCTGCAGGGGGGGCAATTCTCAGCTTCATCCTCAACGTGCTCAAAGGTGAGGCCCCCAGACCTGCTCGGAGTCCTGAACTGCTGGGAACCTGAACTCCAAGCCCAGCAGTGCCCTTGGGTAGCTGTTGCCTTTTCCAGCTCAGCCTCCTCATCAGCCGAGACAGGGCTGTGGAAAATGGGTCCAGATGGTATGTTCTAGAGCTGGCTTGGGGTTTTGCTGAAGGGTCTGACGTCATCCACCCACTGAGTCCTCTCCACCAGGTGACTAGTCCCAGAGGAGGGGAGCAGGTAGGCTCCACAGGTGGTGAGCTGTTCATCTAGTGCGTGCAGCCTGTGGGGCCTGGTCTGGCCTATTAAAGCCCGCAGGGCGGTGAGGGGGATCCTGCCAGTGCTCAGGGCTGGCCGGCGCGAGGCTGCCTGTGTTTGTTCCCTGGGGCTGCTGTAACAAATTCCCACAAACCTGGTGGCTTAACACAACACATATTTATTCTCTCATAGTTCTGAAGGCCAGAAGTTCAAAATCTAGGGGTCAGCCAGGCCACGTTTCCTCTGGGGCTTTGGGGCTCTGGAGGAAAACCCGTCCTTGGCTTCTTCCAGTTTCTGGTGCCTGCTAGCATCCCCAGGCTTGTGGCTGCCTCACTCCAGTCTCCACCTCTGTGGTCACATGGCCTCCTCTCTTCTGTGTGTCTGTTTTATAAGGTTACATGTGATTACATTTAGAGCCCACCTGAAAAATCCAGGATAATCTGCTCCTCTCAGTCTCCTGAATATAATGACACATTTTGCCATATAAGATAATATTCACTCTTTTGCCATATATGGTAGTATTTGCAGGTTCTGGGGATTAAGACATGGACAAATTTTTTTCGGGGGGGGTCCAACATTCAATCCACTACCTAGGGTCACCCCCACCTGTGCCCATCCCCTCCACAGGGTTCAACTTTACTGCGGAGTCGGTGGCCAGGCCTGAGGGGAATGTGAACATGTACCATCACCTTGTGGAAACATTCAAGTTTGCTGGAGGGCTGAGGTGGTGGCTGTGGGACCCTCGAAGCCACCCGGAGGTCCAGGTGAGGTGGCCTGGGCAGGCCCAGGGTTCAGCAAGAGGTGAGGGCTGGGCCAGAGGGCACTCCATCTGTGGACCCTGAGAGCCTGGCCGGGTGAGTTAGGAGGGATGTGTGCGTGGTTGGTGCTAGAACAGGACGGCCCAGGGCAGGGAGGCACAGCGGGTGTGGGCATTGGAAGAGGCCTTGGAGTGGTAGTTATGGGAGGGTAGCGGTGGCACCACATTTCAGAGGACCTGGAGGGTGGGCAGGGTAGAGCCTGGGCTCAAGGGAGAACCAACTGGAAAGGGTCCCCCAAAGGGCCCTCTGCTCTGTGGGCCCCACCTGGCCCCTCACTTACCCCATCAACTGACCACCCACCCAGAACGCCTCCCAGGACCTGCTGGGAGAGGCTCTGGCCCAGCACATCCGCCAGCAGATCGACGCCCGGGGTGACCACCAGCTCAGCCACTATAACCTGGCCGGGGCCCGGGGCCACAGGATGGGCACAGCCCACGTGTCTGTGCTGGGGGAGGATGGCAGTGCCGTGGCTGCCACCAGCACCATCAACACTCCGTGCGTATACTCAGAGGCAGGTGGGCAGGCCCCACTCCTTTGCCCCCTAGACCTGAGTCACACACACA